AATAGTTCTGCATAAAATAAATTTTTACATGTACTAATATCTACATTAAATGGATTTTTAAGCTTCCAGGGCCACCTCTGGCCCCCCATCTAGCTCCGCCGCTTTTTGTCAGATCCTTTAGTTGAAGTCTATATTGAAGTAATCACACATGAGCATGAAGAGGCTCTTGCAGGCAGTGTGAATCAGAGCTTTAATTAACCTCAGCAGATGAAACCAACTAAGGCGGTAAATCAAAATTATCAATCCTTTATAAAAAAGGTATTGTTTACGTGCAGTTTTTTTTAATACTATGGCATATATTGATATTTATTTATCAAGTTATTTATTTATTTTTTGACCTGGGCAACTTCTGGGCCCCAAAGGGCCTGTTGACAAACCCTACAAAGTAAACAAACTAAAAATCATTCAATGCGTGTTGAGAAAAAAAAACAAGAAAATCCTTCTGAACAAAGCTTAAAAATGAATTTGAGTGTTTTCCATGTGGATAAGCAGCTCTAAACTACATGTCTATGAATAAGTAATCAGTCTGCTTGCATGCTTCAGGATTTACTAACAAGGAAAGCAATCAGACCCAAAATACTGCAAAAGAAAAAAAAAAGGCACTTCAGCTTCTTCTTTTAAAAGGGGCTACTCAAAGAAAAGACGACACATCTGAAGATGACAAAGTTCCACACTGCATCCCCCTGCAGTCATGTGTAAAAGATATCTGGAGACACACTGATCCCAGATAACAATATTTCACCACGGACACTTGGACATAAATATGACCCTTAGCTGAACTCCGGTCGAGCCGCAAATACGCTCAGTCTGATTTAGATGCTTTCGCCTTGCAGCATCCTCCTGGCAGAAAAGCAAAGGAGAACAATAGGACAGTAAAATGTATCCTAATTCCAGCTGGAGATCCTAATTCAGTTCAGAGACAGCGAGGAAATGGGCTTGCGAGAGCAGACCCGGCAAATACGCAGCGGATAAGAATGATTATCCCACAGATGAGCGGAAAGATGAAAACTAATTTAATAATAAGACCAGAAAATTCTGCAAGATAACGGGGATCTAGAGACCAATCCGAGACCCATCTGGCTTGTACTGCATGTGCATGTGCCATTTTCAGCAGCAGGAGGGGCCCATTTATACCGCTGGTGCGAAAAGCTTAGAAGAAACATTACTCTCCACAGTTTTACGATAAAAGAACCTCGACATTAATATTCTATCTAAAAGTGAGGAATTCTTTCTCTTACCACTCACCCAACAACTTCAGGGTGCTTTTAGCTGTTTTATATTTGGATTATTTACACAACACCTACAGTTTCAAAAAAAGATGTACTTGCCAAAGTGATTTTATTTTATTAAAATGTCTTACCCTCAGTACAAAACTTTGAAATCTGAAAAAGGGACTACAGGATCTTTCTACTCTGTGGAGGTGATTTTTATTTAACTATAGAATATGTGCATATAAGTACATGCAAATGGTTGCTTTGTTGTCAAAACTGAAAGGGAGTTGTTTTTTTTAGCACTGAAACATTTAAGAAATAGAAAATAAAGAATATTTTCCATGGTTTGACCTGCCAATGACGTATTAACAGGATATCGGCTGATTACGATCCATGGTAAAGCAACTGGTTAATCTCTGAAACTTCTTTTAGGGTTTTAAACTGACTAATTTATTCTTCTTATAGCATAATCATACACTTTATTTCCATCCTTCCGTTTTTTTTCTACTTATCTGAGCTTGAGTCACTGGGGTAAGAGGTCCATGAGGAATACCCAAACATCCCTTTCCCCAACAACACTCTTCACTCATTCTGAAGGATCACAAAGATTTACTAATCTGGGGAGAATAAAGTTTCTCTAGCCAGCTCTGGCTCTTTATTTCTATTCAGCAGCAATATTTTAATTGGCAAATAGTATTACCTTTATTTCAGAGTATTTGAAATTCAAATGTGGTGGAGAATGTGGTTGGGGGTTTAGAGATTACCAAGGTTCTTTATTTTGTTGTATACAGTTTTTATAAAGAGGTCCCTTTTGTCCTTACATTAGGGAAGTTGTTATATGATACAGTAACATTAGCATAAGAACCAAAAACTAATAACTTCATGCAGAACATAGCTGCATATAGTTTGGAAGTAAATGAAATACTTGTTACTTCACCTGCCATGGTATTAGGACAATTGTAAAAAAATAATCTAAGTAATGAGACAGGGGTAGTGGCAGGGGTGAATATGACATGTGAACACATGTAGCACATTACTTTCTCACTATTATATCTGTGCATCCCCTAAATTAAAGCGCACAACACTATCATTAACCCTTAAAAGACAATTACTAATGTCTAATAATCAGTCAAGAATTGTTGGCCCCCAACAATGGTCAGTAAATGGACATAAATGATTCCATAAATCACTCTCTTTATAATAAAGCAATGTTAAATGGCAGTTTTATCAAATTACTTTTTAAATTTCCTGCATCATCTCACTAAGCTAATTGTAATTGCTTTCTATCAATGGCACCAAATGGAAATTTGGTTTAAGCTATTATTTGATTGTTTTTTTTTTTTTTGTACTATAAGATAAATGAAAACAATCTGTAATGTTCTAAAGCAGTGGCTAATACTTTTTTAAATATATTTCCGTAGGTGCTAGCTGTTGTAGTTTACAAATCCAAATTAGATTTTAGAATGTGTAATCTTCTATCCTCTCTTGGTGCTCGTGCTCCGACACATTTTTCTTTCAAGATCTAATTTTGCCGCTGCGTTGGTTTTATAGGTGCAAACATACCTAGCCCACATGCTAATGATCATACTTAATAGATCTATTTTGTAACTTTGTTTTAGAATTTTAGTTATTTTTTGTTATATTAATACTACAAAAAACAAACTAGCTGAAATGTATATAAGAAAGGTCAATATTCTGACATCACAGAAAATTTGGTTCAGTATGGTAGCACAACTTTGCAGTTATGATGCTGTTATAAAAAAAGAGGGTGCTATTGATATCAACAAAGATAATTATGTAGAGACAAAAATAAGAAAAAGACAAAATGATTGAAATCTTAAGTCCAGTGATGTTTTAATAGAATTTAAAGAAATGTTTCCTGCAAAATTCTGAAAAACAATTTGTTCACAATAATGATACTTTTTTCCAGTAATGCCCTGTATGTGACGCCATCCATCTTCACATCTGCTCTGACCAGCTTAGTCGTCTTACTGGCATTATGCTGCCTATGTCCATGCGTTTGTAAAGAAAGCTCTGCATTCTGACAGATATTTGGCACCTCTATAACCGTTATGAGCTCTTTTAACTACAATTATGTAAATCAAATGTTATTGCAAAATATATCCATTTACTATCTCTCCTTATATTACAATCCCATAAATATGTAGAGTAGTAGAACTGAAAACACATTTTTGTGTTGCCTGGAGTAAAAAAGTAAGACCTGTAGGCTGTTTTCATTGTTGTCCTTAAACAGAAAAAGTGGGATTCATTATGAACCGGCAGTGTTGCCACCTCTCATAAAAGAGGGATTAGTCCCCATATTTTTGCCTTGCCTTAAATGTTATTATGAAGGTTTTGTACTTATTTACCTGCCAAAACAGGCATCTCTTTGATGTATCAGCTTGGGCCTTGGCAGAACTGCATGAAGGCATATTTGTGTAATACACATTTTTCCTCAGGACTTATTACAATGTAAATTACCTTGTCACATCGATGCTGATCTCAAAAGTAAAAGCACAGATTTCAAACAACCTTGCTTAAATTAAATGCAGAGTTCCTTTCTTCCCACTCAGTCTGTGAGGAGTCTTTTCATTTGTTTTGCATTTTATATAGGACAGTGGAAATTTGCACAACTCTGTAAAAACTGCTGTGTCCCAGTTTCTGCAGGTCGGTGATTTAACAGGATATTGATTCAGTGTATTACCATACAGGTGCACCAAACTTGGAGACATCTGGAAATATTTTTATCCATGTGAAAATTCAAACAAAGCTGCTGCACGGCTGCACTAGAAAATATTCACATCCCTATATTTCTTCCAGATTTTGTTACTAAACAAAAGAGATGCTTTTCGGCAGATGTATGGTGTCTGTTTATATCAAAACTCTTAATCATGTCACTGACTCCGCATCACACTGATAACACCAAACCAAAATTGTGCATATTTGCACCATAAATATTTAATCCTCTGAATTTCCATATCAATGCATTTTTTTTCAATAAAGGTTGTCTAAGTCTAAGTAAATTTTACTCCAGACTCCTTTTTTTCACTAGATTTAGCTGGGCTGCCCTGTCCCTTTAATGCAGGAGTTGCCTCTATTTGTTCATTCCACCATCAAGGTCTGATCTTTGGGGTGCATCAATTCAATTCAGTTTATTTATATATTACCAATTCACAACACATGTCATCTCAAGTCACTTTACAGTTCACCAGATCATACAGTTAAATTGATTTAGTTTTCTATCTAAGCGAAACCAGTTGATTGCATCGACTCATTGAGTCTAAGGCAATCCCTTTATTTGCCTCTTGCACAAATATCGTCTTTGCATATCTGTCTTGGGCAAAAACCTTCTATGATGTAAGGTAAGTTAATAAACTTGTTCAAAGAGATATACCACAGCTTTCTGGATGTATGCTCCTCTTAAATTATGTTCAATTGGCTAAATATACCTTAGGCTTTCTTCATAAAGGCTACATCAAAAGGATGATCAGTGTAAATCAAAAGCAAAGAATCTTAGTTTTATACCAAAGTGCATGAATACCTTTTGATCTATGTTGATTTTTAATTTTTAAATTGTACCTTAATATCTATGAACGTGTTTTAGTTTGTCATTACCTGACTAGAACTAGAACATGTCTAGTCTAGCACTAGTCAGTTTTAGATCACAGTTTTGAAAAAAAGTAAAGAGGTGTGAACACAATCTGGCATTATAGGGTTTTTTTCAGTTCTTTGCAGCTATAGACTGTTAAGCTTTGTTAACCTAAGCCGTTTAAATCACAGATCACTCACCTTGCCAACGTAGAGAGGCTCATTCCCTGTATACTCCTCCAACACGAAGAACTGGTTCCATACCCAGCTGCGTTTGTGCCTGTGCAAGGCCTCCCAGGAGTCGGGATCAGAGCGTAGGGACTTCTCCTCGTCCCCAGAGTTGGGATTTAGCCCCCAACAGCAACAGCCTTTCCCCCGCAAGACAAACAGGAGCACCAGGAGAGCCAGGGCTCTCCGTACGCCTGAGCAACACCAACCCATCATTTGGGCTTTCCTCCAAAATGCACTGAAGCAAGAAGAGGAGCAAAAATTAAAACGAACTGAAATGTCAAAACCCTTGGGCTTTTATCCTTACGGCCTGAACTCTGCGTTTCAACAGAAAGCAGGAGCAGTCGGACCCTGAAAAGAGCACACGGGTTGAAAATGAGTCAAATTCTCCATTTTGCTGCACAGCTTTACTGTTTTCCCTTATCGGAGAGGGAAAATAGGATAATTCCTTGTGCTTTGGAAGCAGAGAGCTGGCCAAGAGGGTCACCGGCGATTAGATGGGGGGGGCTTGGACACCAACTCTTTGTAATTGGCACCTATCAGAACAAAAAAAGGAGAAAGACAAAGACAGAGGAGAAAAGAGAGAGAGGAATGTCAGCAGAATATCCTCCATGACCGCAGTCACTTCTGATAGCGAGTAATGGGTCTGCTGATGCAATGATAATGGCATCTTTTTCAGTAATCCTAAAGATATAGATGGAAAAAAATGAATAGAGGACAGACACACACAGATACTCACCTACAGATGCTGTAAAAAGGGTGAGGTCATAGGGTTAATAAGGGTAAGATGGAGGGAAAAATACACGGTCTTTCGATGAATGTAAAAAGATTTCACACTGAGCAAGACATCAACAGCATAACAATCAAATACCATTCAGTGGCCTCGAAAATTATCCAGGCCTCCTCTCACCAAGGTCATTATTTTGTCATTTTTTTCTATAAGATGATGGTGGCAGTGAATGGGTCTTGCCACTATACTCTAACAAGCCACATGATCTAAATGGTGCAGACTCTCATCACCGTGATTAAAAATAAATCTGGACTGTCAGCAGGATGCATGAAAACCCAAGCAACCTGACCTCTAATATGAGGGGGGGGAAACACGTTGACCCCAGCGTGAGCATGAGAAAAGAGATAGAGTTGGAGGGGCAAGATGGTTTAAGGGGGTGGGGGTTCTATGTGCCATCAACATGCTGTGACAGATTCCCAACCTTTTGATGAAGCCAGAACATGACGACTTGTCAAAGCTGAGGACAGCATCGGTCTCTGACAGAAAATGTTCTTCATGTCACAATGTATCCTAGCAACTTCATTTGACAGCTGCTACTATCAGTCTTTTGTGGGCATAACAGTAACTTAAACATTGAATACAGTGCCTCACAACATATTCCCAAACTGCTATGTGGTTTGAAAAGATATGTAATTGAAATAAAAGGAAATGTCCTCTAAGTGTGTCTCCAACAGGTTTGCAGTTCCTCAGACTAAATTTGTTGTCAATACTATTGCAAGGAGAGCATATTTACACTTTAATTCTAATACATCATGTATGGAAGAAAAACAGTCTCATTGGAATCTACCTTTTTCTGTACACCATATTTTTTGACACAGTATTTTGAACGCTGAATTTTTTTTACAAATTAAAATTCTTACACTAAATTTTTATCTGGGTAAAATTCAGCTGCAAAAATTCCCAAGCAAAAAAGTTTAGCTGAAAAAAAAAACATTAAAAAATTCAACTTTAAATGTGTTGACCTTCTGGTGAACTCAAGCCAAAGCAATCTACACTTGATGCAGTTGAGCAGCTTCTAGCCAATGACATTAGCTCATTTGATCAGGAAAAAAAGGCAAGTTCAGGTGTAAAATATGTGAATCAGGAAATTGTTCATATATCAAACTAAACGATTGTTGTTGTCTACTTTACTGGAGCTTTACAGACTAAAATCAACACCGACTAACTTTTCAACTCTCATAAAAGATTTTCAGAACTTTTGTGATTATATGTCAAATTAGTTAAATGATATGTCTGTCATGGCCCGAGGAGGTCTGGAATGTTTTCCCTGGCACTAAACTAACTTTGATAAGGGTGGCAGTTACCCTGCCACACAAAACAACTACAAATGTGCAGACAGCTTTATGGCATACATCACTTCCCCCTTTTCTCATTCGTTATAAAGACGGAAGTCAATGCAACTAAAATTTTTATGAGAGACTGCATATTTGTGCAAATTGTGCAGGGTTGATTATCAGCCAATGTGGCGCCTTCCTGCTAGGATATATATGTGTTTTTACTGTGAAATGATTAACCATAAACTTATGTTTATTTGTTTCAAGGCTCTAAACTCAGTCCATCAGTTGCTTACAAGTCATGTGAGATGGTGCAAAACCAAAGTTAAACGTTTCTTATGTTTAACATTGTCATATGACATAGTGTTTTGGCACAGTTAGATTCATTACCGCATCACTATTCATCTTTCACACACTGGAAACAGAAATGTAGTTCAATCCAACTGCAGGCGAGCGGAATATCAGAATTTTACCACGCTATGGTCTTTAACAAGCTAGTCCTCATTGGAAATACGGCCTTCCTTCAGACAAAATGATACACCCTTTGTCCACTTGAGGAGCTAAAATCGACCAAACTGAAAGTTCTTTAGAACTGCTTTAATGTTGAATGTTATTACATTTTTATTTCTAGGGGTCAGATTAAGCAAGGGAGAACCCAATTATACATTTTTCAGATTCCTTAAAAAAAGTTTTGGAAAACCATGTATCATTTTTATCTATTTAACAAATATGCATATATTGGGCATAATTCGTAGGATACAGTAAACCACTTGTTAAACCTTAAAGGAATAGTACACCCAAAACATGATTAGCCTTCATTTTCTACTCACCCCCATGCTGAACAACACTCTGGAGTACTTTTTTAATATCTCAAATGCATCTGGAGATCTGGGAGGCTTCTTGCTGTCTGCTGACATTCAAATAATGGAGGTCTATGGCGCCCGAGACAGAAAGGTCCATAAAAGTCCACAAAAACGTGTCAATATTCCTCCATACTGCTCGTACAATGTAATCCAAGTGTCCTGAGTGGGTAGCATCCAGAATTTACTCGAAACGAAGTCATTTAGAACGTTTTAGAGCCTAAACAGTAGTGTATAGGATTTCCTAATAGCGCCCCCATGCGCGCTCACGATTCTACGGAAGCCGGCAGACCAAACCAGCGCATTCAGCTCGGCAAAGAACTCATGCTCTTCCTCAACACTGAAGTCCTCAGACATTTTTCTTTCGTTGTTTCTTTCTTTGCACAGGTAAACAGCACATTTCTTCTTCTACGCTTGCATTATCGGCAGAGCAGACGCTGAATGCGCACTTTCTTCCGGTTTGGTCTGCCGGCTTCCGTAGAATCGTGAGCGCGCATGGGGGCGCTATTAGGAAATCCTATACACTACTGTTTAGGCTCTAAAACGTTCTAAATGACTTCGTTTCGAGTAAATTCTGGATGCTACCCACTCAGGACACTTGGATTACATTGGACGAGCAGTATGGAGGAATATTGACACGTTTTTGTGGACTTTTATGGACCTTTCTGTCTCGGTCACCATAGACCTCCATTATTTGAATGTCAGCAGACAGCAAGAAGCCTCCCAGATCTCCAGATGCATTTGAGATATCAAAAAAGTACTCCAGAGTGTTGTTCAGCATGGGGGTGAGTAGAAAATGAAGGCTAATCATGTTTTGGGTGTACTATTCCTTTAAATTGCCTAAGTGGTTAAATATAATATATCTATACTTCATTAGTTATATACAGTTTTGTTCCTCTCATGCTATATTACAGCAGGATATACTGTCTAATTTTGTATTATATCTTCATTAAATGTCACAGTAGTTGAAACAGAGAATTCCCCTGTTGTTAAGTAATTAAAAACTACCTAATACTGGAAGGATTATGGGCAACTGATATAGATACAATGACACAGTTACTCTTCCCAGGGACTGGACTTAACAAAATGGAACAACATGTCAGCAGCCAGGTTAATATAGAAACCACTAATAACTTCACAATCTATATGATAATACCCCAAAAGGCAACACCTTTGTTTACTGATGGCATGTTTTAGAAAATGGACATCTCTTGATAAGTTTGTTGCCAACGTTGCGGTTATCTGGCAAGAGTGTCATCACTGATTTTTTTTAACCATTTCTCCACTTAGCTTAAAATGAAAATAGTTTCAGCTTAGTTCCATCTTAGAGTCATCCCTTTAAGGGGATGTTATTATTACTGTGGATAATTTTTAGCGTGAAAACAAATCAAAGTTATGTCTTAAAAAATAATACCCATACTTTACATATGTTTATCAAATATAAATGGAAAAAATTTAATAAACAGAATTTAAAGGTATAGTGGATTTTTGTATATTTTTGAAAAGACCCGCCCTCTTCACTTTAAAAAAAATTCACATGCACAACCCGAGAGGGAACGCCTATTAAACGTGTGCATGAGCCCATTTCTCCTCGTGCACGCTCTTTTTAAAAGTTGCATGTTTTCATCTCTCATAAAAGCTTACTTTCCAAAAGATTTGCAATTCTCCACTTTGTCAGACTCACCACCGGTAAGTGAAAATAGGGACGAGCACGTAGGACGGCCTTACCTAAACATATCACCAGTATGATTAACTATTAGGAGGACCACCTATTTTGATGATCCACCCAGGAAAAAGAACGTCCTCCACTATACCTTTAAGCTTCTTTTGCGGAGAAAATGTGAAAAATTCCAAAGGTTTGAAAACATTTTTTGTGGCACTATGGTTTAAAGAAACAATGAATGCGAATATGAACTCCGGGAAGATGTTTGCATCGGCATTTGACCAAACGAGTGTATGTTTGTTTTCTCTGACCTCTCTATGTCTCCTCTCTATGTAGAGTATTGGCACAGCCCTGGGTGAGAAAGGTAATTGCTTTGGCATACAGTGACCTCTTTCTTCCCACACAGATCCCTCCACTTCTCATTTTACTTCCTCTTCATTCCCCTCAAGCAAGATAGAAAAAAAACAGCACACCACACACATCCTGTGAAAGTGATTTGTTGAACTTCACCACAGGAAAGTCATTAGGCAGCGCTAATAATTAATACAGAAATAAATCACAGCTGCAAAGACTGTCACCTCTACACAGACAGCTAGATGTTTGCAAGCGGAATGACTTAAAATCTATATTTATTTTCAGTCTGTGTGAAGTAAAAAAAAGCCATGAACTCTTCCAAATTAACGAAAATTTTAAAAAATATGGATACATTAACACAGTCTTCTCTGCGATTTAGTGGCAGGGGTGAAAAGTGGAGCAGATGTGGCTGCAGGGCAACACGACTTGTGAAGGCCGGACGCCGAGCTGGTGTTGTTCACCAGGGTCGAACCGAGCCAACTTAATGCATGTCATTTCGCTAAAGCACCAACGCAGTAGAAAGGAGATGGGAGCCTCATACAGAATGGAGATAATGCAGCCGAGGTGTACAAGAAGTGGACTCACTAAAGCAGAT